TTTTTTTTTTTTGCGCCTCCTTCATTCCGTTCTCTACTACCTTTGTGCATTTGCGTAATCCTACCACTTCACGCCTCGTAGAGAGGAGTGACACACAAATATATAAATACAAAAACACATATGCATGTTCTCTGCGCATATATATATATATATATATATATGTCTTCGTGCATGGTGAAGCAGTTTCTTATGTGCTTGTGTGGGTGTGTGTTTATCTGACTGGGGTGGAGACAGCGTGTGAGGAACATTAGCACTCTTATCAGCTTTTTTTTCTTTATCCACCGCCTCTATTGCTTCCTTACTCACTCGTCAGCAGGAGCACTGTCGCCACCACCGTGTGGGGGGGCCACTCCCGTTCATTGCAGTTCCACATGCCCACCACGCGTTTGGAGGTGTACGGCCCGGCGTGACGTTGGCTTCCTCAACGGGTGGAGGCCGCTATCCCGCACTGCCTGCCCAACACCGCTGCCCAGACGCCGCCGCCCCCGCCGGGGCTGTCACTTCCTCATTCTCATTGTTGTTGTTATTGCCACCGCAATTGGGCTCTTCGTCCTCCTCTTCTTCTTCCTCTCCCTGCTGCTTCTTCAGTGGCTCCTCCTCCGCATCCTTGTCGCGCAGCCGGAAGCCGTAGATGCGTGGCACGTAGTGCTGCCTCGGCTTTGAAACAATCTTCCCGTTCTCCCGCAGCTGCATCATGAAGAGGTGCGGAAACGTTGTCCCCCAGAACGCGCCGTCGAGCGTGCGGTGGCGTGACGAGCGCGGGTAGTATATGTCCTGACACTTTGGGCAGAAGAGCTTCACGGAGCTCTCCCGCACAACGTCGCTCTGCCCCACCGGCAGCACCGCCTGCCCACCGCAGAAGACGCGCGGGCAGCGGCCGAACTCACCCTCAACGAATTTCTCCTCCATCAGCTTAAGCCCCCGCGGCGTCGTGATGAAGCGGGCGTGGATGAGGCCGTAGAGCGTCTCCGCCGACGACTCCACGAGGCGCAGCTGCTCCTCCGTGAGGCGGGCGCTGTTGTGCGTCTCGAGATCGAGGATGATGTCGAGGGCGTAGTGGTAAAAGGAGACCATCGACGAGAGGCCGGTGAGGTTGAACTCGTCGTCAATGAAGTCGCGGTCAACGACGCAGAAGAACTCATTGCTCTTCATCTCGCAGAACCACACGATCCACGGCAGCACCTCCTCGTCCGCCTCGTCCTCGTAGACGGCACGGTCGTCGGAGAACTCGCCAGGGTAGGTAGGATAGTTCATTCAACGCTACTCTGCGCCCTGCTGTTGCTGTTGATAGTCCGTGTCTCGCAGTGTGTGTGTGTGTGTGT